CATGTACAGCCAACCAATCAACAGGCAAAGTCCAACGCAGACTCAATCATCAACATGTCTTGCTTAATTTGTTTGACGCTTATTTGGATTTGCAAATGTCATTAATGTACTATACTTACAAGGCTTCATAACTACAACATCTAAATTGCAGTTTGCTGGAAGATTAACTGAAATCCAAGTGTGAATGAATTAAATTTCAAGCCAAAGGCAACAATGTATGTTCGTGCGATCAGCTGGTAACTGGTATATTTAGGATCTTTCTAACTCAAAGAAAAATGGAGTGGTGGATATGCAGGGAAATATGTTCTTTTTTACGACAGGTGCGAGGTAAAAGAAAAGACAACAGTGGTGCATCATCAGAAGTTTCTTAGCTATTCTCAAATCTGGAGTACGGGTTATCCTTTTTCAGACCTAAAACAGAGGGAGCACAGATAAAACTCTGAAACACAGTGTAACTACAGTGAACTAAAAAGATACTATTTATTTGATATCATTTATGATGAAAGAGAAGTCTTACCGTATTTCGTTCTCATTTCTTCATGCCTCTGCCTCATCTCTGCTTTCCTGCAATCAAATAAAGAACTTTTTTTTCTTACTGAGCACTATTTCATCAAGACAAGACTCACTGGTCTCCAGAATTCTTAAAATAATCAAATCAATTTTCTCAAAACAAACCGTACCTCTCCTCTTGGCTGAACTTTCTCAGGTGAGCTCGTCTCTCCATTCGCTCATCACGCCTTTTAGACCTTTCGAATTTTCAGGGGAAATTAAATGTAATCATTTCTTATGTGTTCCAATGTTATAGTGATTTGTTATTAACAATTAATAGCAGTGAATCTCTCTCTCTCTCTCTCTATATATATATATATATATCATTTGCATTGATAAGAATACATGATCAAGATAAATATGAACAAATTATTGGCTGATTGTAATATTACAAACTTTAATTACACATGCTGGTTTTCATCTTACCCAATGTTTTCACATTTACAGCAGCAGAAGCAGCAGACAAATATGGCGATGATGATCACCCCCGCGATCACAGAGATGGTAATGATGAGAGTCTGGAAATTCACTGCGATTCAAACAACACAGAACAGATCTGATCATTCCTGTACAATATTCGCAGCTTGTTCTCGGACACAGGCAATTAATGTAGAAGGCTGAACTGGCCTTGACACATTTTACAAGAGTATAAATGTTATAAAGTGAAAATCAAGAATGTCATTAAGTTAAAGCTACCATAAACTATGCACTATGAATGTGAGAGTCTTACTCCAGCACTCCCCATCGTGCTTCTGAGAGCGGACACACACTGTGAGAGGGTAGAATGCTCTTCACTGGATAGTCGATGCATTCCTGGCTTGAGATGCACCACAAACACTGAAATAGAGATAAATAACACAAACACATATTAGACACATTTTTAGAACACATTTTATAATGTTTCACTAATTACAGCTGTCTGTATAACAAGCACAGGGTTTAGAAGTCTGATGACCACAACTGAATAACACATTATATCTTACCGAAACGATCTTCAGACATGCTTCACAAGTTGTGTTGGATTGTAACGTGCAGTCTGTGAACAGGGGCAAGTCTGACATCAGTGACAACCTATTTGAACCTTTTCTTTGTTAGACACTTCAAAGGTTTTAAGACAAGTACATTTCTAAAATTGATTTTAATATTTGAATTCTGAACCATATATTCTCAGAAATCGGCATGGATGAACATAAAACATATTTTCGTATAGCAGTTATATTAAATATTATCCCTGACCTCTTAAAAGCCTTCTACTGAACAATATTCATTTGTTGTCTAGCCTATCATGTGATTTAAACAAAAGGCTCTCTGCCTAAAGAAGGAAAACTCTTTTAATAGTACATTCAAATGAGCAAATAAAATGCCATGGTTTACTAAAAGCAACAACATTTTGAAACACAACTGTAGTCATATTTTAAAAGGAATGTCAAAAAGTAAAACAGTGCTCGTGGTGGTCCAGTGTTCAAGCGATTTGCTTTACTTACCGAGTCATATGATCACAAGTCACTTCCAAGTATCGTCGTTCAACAGTTATGCTTATACATGACTTCTTATAAAGACATTACGATTTCTAAGAAATCAGACGATATGGTGGACGATTAATTCAGTAAATGTCTGCTGGCCAGACAAACTGCAAAAACATCGGCTGCGTTTCAAAAACCTTGCGAGCTGCCTACACAGACAGCATTTGGGCATCATGAGCGACTTCTGAATCTGAACCGATTGTGCAAAATGCGACCCAAGTAACTTAGAGTTCGACAAGTACCAGTGTTCAAGCGATTTGCTTTACTTACCGAGTCATATGATCACAGCTAAGTCACTTCCAAGTATCGTCGTTCAACAGTTATGCTTATACATGACTTCTTATAAAGACATTACGATTTCTAAGAAATCAGACGATATGGTGGACGATTAATTCAGTAAATGTCTGCTGGCCAGACAAACTGCAAAAACATCGGCTGCGTTTCAAAAACCTTGCGAGCTGCCTACACAGACAGCATTTGGGCATCATGAGCGACTTCTGAATCTGAACCGATTGTGCAAAATGCGACCCAAGTAACTTAGAGTTCGACAAGTAAAGCCTAAGCCATTGTTTTACCATATATATACGGTTAAAACTCTTGTAAACACACAGCAGTATGGCTGAAACTTACTTTCAGCCATACTGCTGGACTTGTCGTCTCACCAAAAACTATTACAAAACTGAAGGCAAAGAAAACAAAAGACAGTAAAAAAGGCCGAGTTTGGATCATGATGGCAAACGCAGCGGGTCTGTGTTGATTTCAGGCCTGGCTGCTCATGTGTTTGCTGGAAGGACTGAACGACGACTTTTTCAAGAACCTCCCAGTTTCGAGTTTAGAAATAGTGGTTTATGGTTAAGCAGGATTTAAAGCGCTGATTTAGTTGTTGTTTTTCTGACGAGCAATACTGTGGATTTATTCAAAGTAAATATCAGGCTCCATTCAAATAAAACATGAGTTTGGAATACACCTGAACCGATCTGTAAACTTTTTTAAATGGCTAAATTTGGTAAAACAAATATTTGTAATCTTTTAGGCTCAGTGCAATAACATGTTCTGCCTCTGAAATGACTAATTTTTTTTAAATATCAAGAAGCTTTCTATTTTTTATGCATTGATATTTTTATTTTTTTGCTGTAATTCATTCAGCTAAAAAGTATGTTGTGTGTAGGAGAGAGCGTACAGGAAAGGCGGGGGGTTATATTTGAGTAAAACATATGACTTCAGAATGTACTGCCCACATGCAGTGCTGTTGCTCATAAAGCACACTAAAACAAATCTTTGACTGAACCTGTGCAGTTATCATATTTGAAGGGAAGACACTTTGTGGACACATTAACTCTTTAGGACCCTGAGTCCATCTCTAACACCCTGATATGATGCAGGCGTTCACACAACACATTTTTCCCATTGTTTTTCTGTGTAAATGTGCTAAATGGACATGTTTGACTGCTGTGTTTGTCCTGTGTCTTTTGTGGTGTCTTGCACAACACTGCATTCTAAAATAAAAAAAACATTTCTAGTTTTTTAAAATTAATTAATTATTTCAAACACAAAAACTTGTTCTGTGAATGGCCCCTAAGGACCAAATACTTCCGTCTGTTTTGTTTACTTGGAAATGCAGCACAGTGGAATCCAAAAATGCAAGACACGGGGTCTAGAGACATGTTTTTTAAAAAACTTTTAACTCGAGTGCCACATTTTTAGGATGCTGTGTCATGTAAGAGACAAAAGACACGGCACGTCTAACGTATGTTTACATATACATAGAAATACATCAATGGAAAAACGCGCTCTGTGTGAATAGCCCCTCATGCACAATACATGAGAGAATGCATGGATGAAAATGGCAAGACAGGCAGAAAAACTTTTCCTCATTCTCTGAACCTAAGGAACAGTAACAGATAAACAGTAACACAGGAAGCCATCTAAATGGCACAAATCTGCACAGACCAGCCCTTGTGCGGAGTAAGGCAAATGGACAAGTTTTAACATGGCTGTTGAGGCCTTCGATGTGTGCAATCACCTCAGGCTATTAGTCTTTGAAAGCTCTCAACAAAACATTGTTTTGTGTGTAACATTTAAGACCGTGTTTTGATCTTTTCACTTCACAGAGTGTTCGAAACTGAAATTGGCCAAAATCAGAAAAGCAGAAAAGAGCATGTTGAAGCATTCAGGACTTTGAGGTATTGGCGATGAACATGCTGATAATGGACCACCATGCCTTCATAGGGAAACTAAAATCCACAGCAATGCACCTTTTTGTTAATCTCTATATTATATATTCCATCTTTATATATTTTGTAACAAAGTTGAACAAAAACAAAATCAAACAGTTAATCTCCAAAAATATTCATATTACAAGGGAACTTAGATAAAATAAATGAATGCAAGTTGTAATTTATTATTTTATATCATATGCATATGATATGGAAATTGAATTTTATATGGAAAAGCGAAGCACAAAGAAAAATATAAGTTGATTTGATAGCATTTAAATAATCCACACCAATCTGGAATTTAAATAATTTATTAAGCATTTTGTAAATCCAGTTACAAAAAAAAAAATAAAATTTTTTGTGTAGAGGTTGATTTTCATCCTCTACACAAACTGGAATATTTTGACGCTAAACTAAAGATGATGACACGCACATTGGCAGTGAACTGACCAGCAGCTCACCAGATTTATTAATGGAGCAATAACAGAACTTTGAATGAGGTTGTGGTACCACATAAACGTGACATCCTCCATTTATATTATCACTGTGTTACATCACTGATGTAGGGAGTCTGTACACGACATGCCATCAACTCAACATCACCATCCATACAATGACACGAACACTGAATAAATACCCAGCCCACCCATAATTATTCACTCTCTTTTTAGGCACACAAAGTCATCCTTCAGTTACAAGTATGCAGGCTTCCTTAAAAAACATTCTTAAGAAAAAAAGACAAGCATATTCCAAACATCTGTCTCAAAAAAGGTTTGACCTATAAACTGAAATGCATCAATTTATCTGGAAAGAAAGTATTTACAACTGACCTACTGTTTGAAATAGCACAGAGTCATAGCTTTTCTGCAAATATCAGTACAGCGGTATTCCACCAGTTTCCAGTCAGATCACGTTGCTATAACAAGTGCAACACTGCACTGAAATGTTGAGATATTGCTTATGTCTTTAAACTGTACCTGAGCTTAACCCAGAAGAGGGCGTTCACACGACACATTTTTCCCATTGTTTTTCTGTGTAAATGTGCTAAATGGACATGTTTGACTGCTGTGTTTGTCCTGTGTCTTTTGTGGTGTCTTGCACAACACTGCATTCTAAAATAAAAAAAAACATTTCTAGTTTTTTAAAATTAATTAATTATTTCAAACACAAAAACTTGTTCTGTGAATGGCCCCTAAGGACCAAATACTTCCGTCTGTTTTGTTTACTTGGAAATGCAGCACAGTGGAATCCAAAAATGCAAGACACGGGGTCTAGAGACATGTTTTTTTAAAAAACTTTTAACTCGAGTGCCACATTTTTAGGACGCTGTGTCATGTAAGAGACAAAAGACACGGCACGTCTAACGTATGTTTACATATACATAGAAATACATCAATGGAAAAGCAGTGCAGTGGACTGCAAAAACGCGCTCTGTGTGAATAGCCCCTCATGCACAATACATGAGAGAATGCATGGATGAAAATGGCAAGACAGGCAGAAAAACTTTTCCTCATTCTCTGAACCTAAGGAACAGTAACAGATAAACAGTAACACAGGAAGCCATCTAAATGTAAAATGACATTTGATTACCTGAGGTGTCTCAAAGAACATGTCCCTCCCATCCACGGTGATCTTGTATGTGCTGGCGTGAGGAGCTCCAAAGAAGACAATGTGTTCATAGGGGAAAGTCTCCAGAGGTTTGGCCTCTCCTCGCTTATACACAGACACGTTCTCGGCACTCACGCTCAGCCAGAGATCATGAGGGAAACCACCTTCTTTACACTGCACGCAGAATCACAAGAAGTGTCAGATTAGCCAATCGAAAAAGTATCCAGATACTATCCTGGATTCAAAATGCATGTTAATGTAAATGTCAAGTGTAAAGCGGGGTCACAGAGACTTGACCATTTTTGACCATTTCAATTAATGTAATCATCTTACATCCTCATGTTTCATCCACGGTTCTTACCTCCACATCAAACAGCGTTGATCCATACCCAGGCCACTCTTTAATGATGTTCATGTATTTGAGCATGGCTTGGTGCTGATCCAGTCCATGCAGCCGATTCCATTTTTCCATAATGTTGGCCCTGGTGGCTGAAGTCTCTTCCTTGATCCACATTTCCATCATTTGTTCCTCCTGCATGCTGCGCTGCTTCTTCATGGTGCCTGTCTTCAGCCCCCGCCTCAGTGTGCCGTCCAGGAAGCTCGTTCTCCTCCTTTCCAGGGTTTGTCCCGATCCGGCTGCTCCTCCTACTTTGGTGAACTGAAGTATGCGGCTGCGCAAACGGCCGGTGGGGTAGACGCTGTCCAAGCTCCAGTTCACCCGAGACACATCCCCATACAGGTACTGCAGACGCAAAGCAGCCAGGTGCTGGAGGGTGTCCTCATGGGCAGGAAAGTGACCGCTTATTAAACATTCATGAGCCTGGAGAGATGAATAAGATAGAGACTCACATCTGACTTCGTCTGAAGTCTGAAAATGATAGTTTTTTGTGTTTTTCATGCTCGCATAGGCACATTTTTGAAAAGAGAACAAAGCTACATAGTCTAAAATCAAAAATAATGGTGCAGTAAATTAAACAGAACTTAATTACAGGGGTTACGGTTTAGCTAGTCATCACTGTTAGCTAGTTAGCATTGTTGCTGATAGATGCTGTATCCACACAATTCAAGTATCTTTCTCCAATGATGACCACTCAGAATCAGATTTTTGATCATGAAAAACACTAAAGGCAAGAATTGAAAATATAAATTCTAAATTCAGCAACTTGCCAATGGACAGAGAACCTCAATTTCTGTTCCAGGGAACAGCTCTTTTATCCTAAGACGTGACTGATATCAGAAAATATCACCAAATGCAAAATATTCCATGCTCAGAATCATTGCTGTTGATACTAAAACTGAAACTAATAAAAATGTATCAGTAATTAAAACAAAGCTGAAATAAAATAAAATATATAATTATTAGTCTTATAAACTTTAAAAATGAGAAATGCTGTCTTGGAAACTAACTGAAATAAGTAAGTTTAAAGGTGGGGTAAGCGATTTTTCAAAAACGCTTTAGAAAACTGATTCGGGCCGACTAGCAAAACAAACTTGTATCCAATCAGCAGTAAGGGGGGTGTCTACTCATGATGTGAAGGAAAGAGCATTCATTGCACTGAACGGACATTAGCGAGCCGAGTGACAGAAAGATAGATATGGCGGATAAAACCCAAAAGAGGAAAACATCTGCGGAACAAAAAAAGCTTAAGGCAAGAAGTAGGACCTGTGTAAATATCGGATCAGCTTTCCAGCGCTGGAGAGAACTCAAGGAGCGGAAGGCCTGCGATCAGACGCCGAGGTTGCTTTGTTTCTTCTCGATAGGTGAGTAACACCGAGTCTGCGCCGCAACAGCTAAAGTCTGTCTAGTACACTGGACACGACAAAGCGACCGTTGAAAATCATTTCAAATTTGTGTCAATACGTCATGATTAGAACGCAGCAGCAGTTTTCTGTCGGGGATTTGTCGTGTCTTGCCATGCCGCATCCAGTGTTGACCATAGATATGTATATACGTATATCTATAGTGTAGACAGCATCACTGATTATAATGAGTTCCATAGTATTTTGTTGTGCCGCGCCACTCGCGTTCAGTGTAGACACAGTGTAAAATTGGTTTTGCTTTGTTTCACAGAACTAATCGTTGCCTGGGTTGCGTACGTATGTGTGGGGCGGAGCTATCAAAATAGGGACGAGACCCTTTTGGGGTAGGGGCGATTTTGTTTTGGTGATTTCAAATGTCAACATTGGCTACCAGAAATCGCTTACCCCACCTTTAAGTTGCTAAAATAGTTTCTCCAGGTATTACACACCTCGATTAATTTGAACAGAATTAGAGGCAAGAAATGAAACTATAAATTACTGACCTGCTCAAACATGAAGACAAACTCCACTCCTTCCTTGGGCATGCTCTCCACATCCAAGAAACAATACAGTTTGAAGTATAGCTTCCATGGGCCATCTTCCTCCACTTCACTTCCTGCCAGCCTGAGAAACAAGCACCACAGCAAACAATCATTTTTTAGTTTTTTCAGTGTTTTTAGAAGCTTTGGAGATTCTATTAGAGCATTACTGCTTTAATAACCAAGTGACGATGACACATGCATTTGGCAGCGTTTTGTAAGAACAGTGTTTATTTTTTGAGAGTGAATAGGTGCAGCTTTGTGGCGTAATTTTACCTCTCGAACTTGGCCAGCACATCGGCCACAATCACCCTGCTCTCAACGGCCCGGTCGATCAAGTTGCTATGCTCAAACAAAGCAAACATGTTCCTGCTGTCCTCCATAGCCAAGCCTCGGATCAGTTTCTCTACCACCTACACATGGAAAAGAAACAAAACACTTCTCCATCAGCTTATTACACCACGGATTCCTGATTAAGAGGAAAATTATCTATATCTAGGCATCTGCAGTTTTCTGTCACAGGTAGGCTTTCATGTCCCCTATTGGCCAGAGCCAAAATCTTTATTTGTTATATCATTGTTTGTTTTATAACGGCATGAAAAAGGATCATTTTTATTATTACATCTTATGGGTACAAGAGTGCAATTCTGAATAATCTAGGGTTGCGTACGTATGTGTGGGGCGGAGCTATCAAAATAGGGACGAGACCCTTTTGGGGTAGGGGCGATTTTGTTTTGGTGATTTCAAATGTCAACATTGGCTACCAGAAATCGCTTACCCCACCTTTAAGTTGCTAAAATAGTTTCTCCAGGTATTACACACCTCGATTAATTTGAACAGAATTAGAGGCAAGAAATGAAACTATAAATTACTGACCTGCTCAAACATGAAGACAAACTCCACTCCTTCCTTGGGCATGCTCTCCACATCCAAGAAACAATACAGTTTGAAGTATAGCTTCCATGGGCCATCTTCCTCCACTTCACTTCCTGCCAGCCTGAGAAACAAGCACCACAGCAAACAATCATTTTTTAGTTTTTTCAGTGTTTTTAGAAGCTTTGGAGATTCTATTAGAGCATTACTGCTTTAATAACCAAGTGACGATGACACATGCATTTGGCAGCGTTTTGTAAGAACAGTGTTTATTTTTTGAGAGTGAATAGGTGCAGCTTTGTGGCGTAATTTTACCTCTCGAACTTGGCCAGCACATCGGCCACAATCACCCTGCTCTCAACGGCCCGGTCGATCAAGTTGCTATGCTCAAACAAAGCAAACATGTTCCTGCTGTCCTCCATAGCCAAGCCTCGGATCAGTTTCTCTACCACCTACACATGGAAAAGAAACAAAACACTTCTCCATCAGCTTATTACACCACGGATTCCTGATTAAGAGGAAAATTATCTATATCTAGGCATCTGCAGTTTTCTGTCACAGGTAGGCTTTCATGTCCCCTATTGGCCAGAGCCAAAATCTTTATTTGTTATATCATTGTTTGTTTTATAACGGCATGAAAAAGGATCATTTTTATTATTACATCTTATGGGTACAAGAGTGCAATTCTGAATAATCTAATTTCTGCTTATTCCCTTTAAACACTGGGTTCTTGTGCTATTATGTTTTTATGATATAGTTGCAGTACAGAGTCTGTCAGCATCCCTCACCTCTCCTGCAGTAGTGTGAGAGTTGATTGAAATCTTGCAGGAGCCTCCACCATGGCAGTAAACAGTGGTCGTCATCTCCCGTCTGTGCAAAAGGGCGATGATCTCCTCTTGCGAAGGCACAAACTCCCGCACTTTTGTCTTTTTCAGTGACTCGCCAATGAACACAGCGAACATCTCTATTTCTGTTCCAGGGAACAGCTCCTTTATCCTAAAAAGTCATTGATATCAGAAAATATTAATGGCACCAAATGCAAAATATTCTGTGCTCAGAATCAGTGTTGATATTGTTAACTAAATATAAAACTAATAAAGAAAATAAAGTAATTGAAATAAAGCTGAGATTAAATATAAATATTAAACTTCAAATTTTTACAAATAATTAATCTGTCAAAATAAGACCACCCAACACAAAGCCAGGATGGGCTATGTCATTGTTACACTTTTCAATGGATGCAGTGAATTTGATTATTTTGGCTGATGTACAAGGGCTTGGGCCAGGATGTTTTTCTAAACATTTCCTCTATTTTATTCTCAAAGTGCACCACAGTCCTTCATATTTATGTTATAAACCACTACATTTTATGAAAAAAAAGAAAAAAAGTCTATGAAAATGTATGATTTAACAGTGTGAAAGTAGATGTCATATTCAAGGAGTAGCTACAACACCTTTTCAGGTGGAATCGGAGGTATCTGAGGATGCCGCGGCTGGGCAGGAAGGTGCAGCTCATGCAGGTGAGCAGATGCCAGTGTGCGTGGTTGGCAGAGCTGTTGGGTTGAGGCACATGATTGGTTTGTTTGATCAGCTGACAATAGACTTCATCTCTGAGCGGCCGCAGATCTTGACATGTCTGTAAAATGCCTTGAATGATGGGCATTGGGTCTGGCACAGCTTCCATCTCCTGTAATGAGTTAAAGATCTTGACTGCCTCATCTTGCAGGCTAGTGTAGCCTTTCTCTTTTTGCACTGCAAGAAGTAGGACAGGAAAAGGAGACAGATGGAGAAAAGGACACAGACACAACAGATTAAATCCATCATCCTTCCAATCCAAATCCAGAGTTCAAATGATAAAACTGCATAACTGAGCAAATAAATCATCAGTGTACAATTCAACAATGGGGCCAAAATATGTGAACAGCAGAGCATGCTTTGGCTCGAATAATAAAGGAGTGTCCAGAGTTAAATAAACATTAAGCTTTATTAACAGCATAAGTGGTCTGCTGTCAGTTAGCACAGACAATTTTTTTGTTATTGATTTTGTAAAAGGGTAGTTGACATAAAATGCAATTAGACATTTTTCTAAATTCTTGGATATGACCTCCAATTAATTGAGTTTTGAGTATGGAATATGTGCACTTTTATTTAACAAATATAAAAATCAATACAAATTATTTTATTATTTGTAATTTTAATATTTTAAAATTAACAGGTCATGCTATAGGACTATTATTTGTATGTATTATTTGTATGTATATGTGTGTGCGTGACCCTGGACCACAAAACCAGTCATAAGGGTCAATTTTTTGAAATTGAGATTTATACATTATATTAAAGCTGAATAAATACGCTTTCCATTGATGTATGGTTTGTTAGGATAGTACAATATTTGGCCGAAATACAACTATTTGAAAATCTGGAATCTGAGGGTGCAAAAAAATCTAAATATTGAGAAAATCACCTTTAAATTTGTCCAAATGAAGTTCTTAGCAATGCATATTACTAATCAAAAATTAAGTTTTGATATATTTACGGTAGGAAATTGATAAAATATCTTCATGGAACATGATCTTTACTTAATATTCTAATGATTTTTGGCATAAAAGAAAAATCGATAATTTTGACCCATACAGTGTATTTTTGGCTATTGCTACAAATATACCCCAGCGACTTAAGACTGGTTTTGTGGTCCAGGGTCACATATATATAATTTTAATAAGTATTTCAAATAACAACTGCACAATTTTGCATGCTTTGAATCCATGCCACAACCTTGTATTAAACCCAGAACATGATTATAAAAATAATGAATGAATGAATGATATTTGTCTACAGTATTATTTTAATATTACTATTATAGTATTTATTTATATTGTGAATTAGCTTTTATTTTTACATGTTCAGTTTTCATTTGAATTTTAGTTACGTTTAAGTAATTTTATTATCTGCTTTCATTATTTTACTAGCTTTTTTATATTTCTATATTGCTTTAATTAATTTTTAGTTTTTAATCTAATATTTTTCATGTATTTTAATTTAGGTTTATTTAAATTACCAAAATTTCCCATTTATTTACAATTATGCATTTGGAAGACACTTTTATCCAAAGTGACTTTGGATACTTTTGTATTCAAAGTAAACATTTTGTCAGTTCATTCTCTGGGCCTTGGCTTTGCTACCACCATGCTCAACTGTTTAATCTACAGGAATGTAGCTCAAACAGTAACAGTTTTAACAATAACAGAACTGATTGTCTACAACCCAGGACATTTAATAAATAAAGACAGTCTCATTTCCCTGAAAACACAGGAATAGATCAAGATCAGTGTAAAGGAGAGACTCACAGCTGGAATTGACCTCTCCGTACGGCAGAGGCAGCAGGGGCGAGTGCAGTGGGTGCTGTGTGTATCTCAGGATGGGGTTCCTCCAGTACATCTGCTCAACAGCCTCCACATTAAGACTGCTCTCCTGCACAACCATGAAAAGAACGATGGCATTTGTTTTTTTTTATATTCATTTAACATAGTGTACATCCACAGATCACTGGAGGTGGAAACACAGCACACAAAGGGTTTGCTGTTTTTACCCTGCTTGATTAACTAGGTCAAAGGTGCTCAATTAATTCAAGTTTCAGAGCATAAATGATCAACTCAACATAATTAACCACCTCAGCTCTACTAGCTCAACAGGTGGCCCTAAACTAGCTAGTAGTCCAGCTAACCAGATGACATGTAAAACTAGTTATCAGAATCTGGTTTTATCTGGATTTTCTTGCAAGACAAAGGTGCACTCAATGCTTTTCCCCACTCATTAAATTATGGGTTTACCACTTGTTTTGAAAAATTGGTTTACATTCATATAACTAAATAAAGTCATTTTTATTTTAACCATGTTGAGATCACATGACCAGTTTAATACTACTGACTTCATACAGATCCAGCGGTGACTGTATGTTTTTGCTCAGGATATACATTAATCATGGCGAATAGCATAGGCTACTGTTACAATGGCACCGGTAACTGAAAATGTCTTTTAGGCTTCACCGCCACTATATGTCATTATGGCGTCCAGCAGAACACAAAACGACATGACTGAGCGCTAGGGATGTAACGATTCACTCAACTCAGGATTCAATTCGATTCACGATTTTGATTTCACAATTAAAAATTTTTTTTTTTTTTTACAAAATGAGATTTAAGACAAATTATAAATTAAATGTGTCCTTTTATTATTGCTTGGACAAAATGCTGCACATTTCTTTGTGAAATTGAAATATAACACTATAATAATAATAATATACTAATATAGCACTTGCATATTATTGCTCTTTTGTTGGTTCTTCAGTTTTGTGAAACTATACATAAAAACATCTGCATGAAACAGAAACAGCAGAGCTGAATGAGACGCAGATTCACTCTCTGCAAGCAGGCGGCGCTTAAAGCGTTTCCTGGTTTCCGCTGCAAACAAAGCAGCACTGCACTTATGAACTTTAATATGCATTATACAGAGGCAAGATGAAAAGAAAAAATACCATCTAAACTTTTCTAAAGACCGTAAGTTCCCCTCAGACATGCATTCATATAAACTCCTACCCCTAAATGAATCGTGATTTGTTTAGCATCTCAACCGATTTGAATCGTCACATATTTGAATTGATTTTCAACCGGCTCGTGGTTAATCGTTACATCCCTACTGAGTGAATCTTTACGATTCAAATTGACTCAAATCTATTGCATAGATGTAGAACAGAAGCACACAGAAACAATCAAACAAATACAGAAATGAGAAAAAAATAGGAGAAAACAGTGAACAGCACACAGAGCACTCATCCGTGTACCTCACTTAACACTACAGTTTTTGACCCTGAGGGACTGTTGGGGTTCGAGAGGTATCGGCTTCCACAACTGAAACATGATTGTTAATCAGATGAAAAATTATATGTTAAAACTTATTCCACATGGAATCATGAATTCAATTCGATATTTTAGGGTAAATGTACCTTGATATCTCGGATGAGTTGCTGGGTAGGCGTTTCTATGGGAACCTTGTTGTCAATGGCCACCTGAATGGCTGAAGCCCATCTCATGGCTTCGTTCAGTAGTTTGGTGTAGAGACGGTAAGAATGCTTCCTCCCATGGACTATTATGTTCCAGTAACCTGTGGTGAACGGAGGTATTGGAAACGGTGCAAAGAACATTTGAAGAAATCTCTCTAGATCTCATTTTCACACTTAACAATGTGTTCTGCATAAAAATGTGTGAACTCACCTGTCTCCTTGTAAACTTTCTCATCAGGCTGAACAACCGAGCACAGGCTGTTGAGCACCAGTGTTCCCAGTTTAGAGGCGCTGCGCTCTGATGATTTATAATAATCCAGTGAGTTATTGGTCAGAACAAACCAGCGTTTCTTGAGCTTGAGAGATGTGCTCTTCCCACTGGACTTCATCTCTTTATGCAGCCAACCTGATAAAAACATTGAAAGAGGAAAAAAATTAGAATCAAGAGAGTATGAGATGACTTTGCCCGTGTGTATTTTAGTGACCATAAAATTAAAAGAATGAAGATTTAAATAATAGTTATAGATTAGTTAATCACTTAAAAAAGGGTTGCTAACAGGCTTGACATTAATATTATTAGGTATTTTAATAATATAACAACTAAAATCTACAGATCTCTACAGACACAATGCAATTTAAACATGCATATTTGCTAATATACCAAAGAGGCACAGCAAAATTTGGCATCAGTGATTCATTGATTAAAGAATGTTTTTACACAAATGTACAGTACAATAAAACATTTGGGGTTGGTACGATTTTTGTTTTTGAAAGCTGCATTTATTTGACCAAAAATACAGTAAAAACAGTAATATTGTGAAATATTTTTACAATTTATAATAACTGTGATGGCAAATTAGAATTTTCAGCAGTCATTACTCCACATTCCTTTTTGTTTAGAAATCTTTCATAAAACGTTAAAAAGAACAGCATTTATTTGCAATAGAAATCTTTTGTAACGTTTTAAACATCCAGGGTTTCTGCAGACTTGAACAAGTTAAATTTAAGACTTTTTAAGACCTTTTTAATACCACCTTATATGGAATTTAAGACCTAAACCTGTAATGGAAATGCACATTTTATTACATACATGTAATATTTAATGTGTATAAATTAAAAAGAAAACAAAATATCAATGCTGTAATAAATGGTATTTATTACTACGATATACAGTGAACTTTTCATGTCAGCAGACAATATTCCATACAAAATATCCCTGCAAAATAACTGCATCACTGAGATTTTTGGTGGAGTAAACAATTTATTCTGAAGCAATATTTTCATCAGTGTTCTATCAGCTTTTACATACTTAAATCTGCATATTTACCTTTACAAAGGCCTATTTTTAACCTTTTTAGATGTATGCATCATCTTACATGTCAAATTATTACAATTTATCAATAAATTCAATATACACTATAGGGCTGCTACCAGTCAGATTAAATAATTTACACGGCAAATAACAATAATTACAACTGCAATAAATAATGTTATGAGATTAATGTTTTAAATGCATTTATGAATATACAAATAAGAAATGTTGAGGGGAAAAACGCATACTTTTCAACATACTTCTCAACTAAACGACCAGTAAGTGGCGGTAAGTCACATGATGAGTGAGTCATTGAGTCATTCATTCAACTGATTGAGTGTGTTATCATGCTGGTATCTTAAGGACTTTCGTGGACAGCTGACTCCTAAAGTTTTTGATATTCTTCATATTCTGTGTGGTGGTCAGATAAGTTAAGAATAAGATAGATTTTTACCTTTTATGGGCATTTTACCTTTATAAA